ACTTGATGCTGCCTATAAATATGACCAAAAAAAACCATCGAATTCATCCAATCTTTTCACTCCCATTCAGGCACCCCCAACCAAAAAAAAAAAAAAAAAAAAAAATATATATATATATATATATATAAATTTTCTGATTTTAGATTGGAATTTATTTTCCATTCATTATCCCTATTTGGAAGACAAAACATTAACGATAAAAAGAAAAAAGAAAAGTAAATGACACACAAAACGTTCCTCCCTGTCCAACTCCATGTTATTTATTCACATATTTAACATGAACCACTACCAAACAGCAGTTTCAACCTACCTTGTGCTGTTTTTAGTATCTTTTTTCTTATCCACAAGAAAATATTACTTTCTTTCTCTATTGTTTTTGGATCTTGCAGCTTTATTCTCGTTCTTCTTGGTCTGACTTCAACCTTCTTCTTGGACTTCTCCGCTTTCCTCTCAGTCTCTGCCTTCTTCTTTTTGGCGTTCTTCTTCTTATTTTCTACCTCGCGTTTCATTTCTTTCTCTTCCTGTTGTTTCTTCATTCTCTCTTTTTCCTCTCTAGTCAGAGCCCTTTTTTCCTTTTCACATTTCAGTGAGTGGAATGATATACTCTCCACAAATGTGACAGCGTTGATAAACGACCACATTCTCTTTTGTTTTTTCATTCCCCTTCTTGTGAAAAACTGGTTTTTTTTTGCCATCGTTGAGTAGTGGATAAGAACAGAGAGAGGGAGGAAGAGAGGTGACTGTGAGTAGGGTAGAGGGAAGAACAAGAGAAGGAAGAAAGGGAGAAAGAGAAAGAGAAGGAGAGCAGGAAACGGAGGGCTTTTAGCCTTTGTTTGGATTGGAGGTATCCGACGGAGAGGGAGGGGAAGGGATGGGGACGGATGACGAGGGAGGGGGAGTGAGGGGAGGTTGTCCCCTTCCTTCTGTTTGGTTTTCTAAAGAGGCAGAGAGGCAGAAGGGGAGGGAGATTCACGGACTTGGAGGGATTGCAGGGCTATTTAGATTAGATTAAAAATAATTATAAAATTGATTTTTTTATTTATTATCATAAATTGTCTTTTTTTTTTTTTTAAAGGTAAATTTATAAATTTAAAATTAATTTAAATCATTTTTTTTATT